TTAAGTCACAAAAATGAATCAATTTCTATGGGATGACCACAACACGTTATTCAAATCATTGCGTGTTTCAATTAAAAGTTCTTCACTGAGGTTGTGCTTCCTCAAAAAGTGGCTGTCACATGCAACAGCCGCAAAATTAACCAAGGCCTGTGTGTATTCACGAAGAAATACCTCAGTGTAACTTTAGTCATGAAGACACTGTAATGAACAACTCCTTACATCATAGACCAGGCACTCCTGGTCTATGACACAGATAAAACAAAAAGCATGTTACAAACCTTGCTGAAATCTGCCCAGACAAAAAGCCCTGCTCCTCCATTGTGGCAGGGGACACCCAGCTCACTCAACCCCTGGGTGAAGAAACTATGAGCCTCTTTCAACCTCTTGACTGAAGTTGCCAAGAAGACATTGACAAACCAATCTACAAAAAAACAGCAGCAAAGAGGAATAAAAAGGAAAAGAAAAGCAAATATGAACAGCTGTGGTCCAAAGGTTACAACTGACAGTGTTTTAGTAAAAATTTTCAATTCTCAGCAACCGTTCTTTCTAGAGATGGTTAAAGCTACCGGTAGCACACCTATTTTACTGACATGAGCATGTAAATAAGGGATAAGAGTAGACATTCTCAATGATCAGCTATGGTACTGAAGAAAAATTGTTGCCAGGAATAGCACGTAAATAATGTACTGCTTGCTTTCAAGAAGCCTTGTGTCTGAACTCCGGCTCAGTTTGGGGCTGTTGATAAGTGAACTCACACCATGCCAAGCGATGTCAGCTATTCTTACTACTAAAGCAAATGGTAGGAAAAGCTGAACTCCATCTAAGTATGCGGTCATGTGTATTTTGAAAATATACATGACCGCATACTGATGAAAATACTATTTTCAGCATAAAAAGTTGAATACATTTCATAGGAAAGTTTGGATATGTGTCATTCCACCTTCAACAGTTGGAAAAGGAGCAGTGAATAGGTCACTGTGAATGCAAGAAGTCTGCAGTTGTTAATAGCAAGGGACAAGTATTTGTGTTTATTTGAGAAGCCTGGTGTTAGATTCTAAAAGCTTCCAGCTGATGTCATCCATTGATGAATATAGTGTTTGCTTGGTCGCTGATCCAACTGTACCGTGAAAGATCTTACTACTATTAAGCTAAATTCGTGTGCTAAGTTTATTATTGTAACATGCACAAATTTGTTAATGTGTTATGGCCTTTTGCTTTGTTAGAGCATATTTTATGTGACTTGCATATGACACGGGTGACTCGGAGAATACTGTATGGAAGTTACCAACGGTCACGTGTGTCGGTCACCCAATTCTTGTTGTTTTGCATGATTAGACCATTCAAGGGCGCATGACTTCAAAGTAGGGAAGTTGTAGGAGACCGTGCCTTAGCAAGGGCGACCTCACTGTCGTAATTCTAACACATAAATATATGCATATTGTGTAGCTAATCTGCAATATATCTCGGTTATTTGCATGTTTGTATGTCAAGTAATTGTTAGTTGTTTGCGCATGTACCGTGCCGGTGCTCGTTCCGTTTCACGATGGGACCGGGCCTCCTTGTGGCGTCCCACTACACTACCAAGGGAGCTACCCAACCTTATCTTGGTGGTCTCTTCCCTTCATCCGTATCTTTGTTTCGGTAACACTGGTCAGGAAACATGGTAACCTAGAGCAATTTAAACCAGGAAACAGCCCTTTGTACCGGTAACACTATTGATGTTTCCAACCTGGGCAGTGGTGAATGGGAAAGCCCCATGACAGATGTGCTTTTTCAACAAAAATCATCAAACCAACCATAGGAAACATGCTTACAGGGTAAGCTGACAAGTACTGACCAATCAAAGGCTTTGTCCATATTTCCACTTTCAACAAGATCACAAGAACCCAAATAAATTTTTTTTAGGTTTTTTGGCTGGTGCAAAGGACAAAAGCATGGTACATACATCAACATCATGTCACAGCAGTTTCCACTGAGTAATGGATGAGACACTCAACTGGTCATAAGGTACCGGTAACTATGAAAGGAGGGAATTCAAACCACCAGAACGTTAACCGTTTCCAAACGCGCACTGGGTCGACAGATTTCGCGCATTCTGATTGGCCAACGGCGTTGCCCACACTTGGAGGCGCACTATTGTGAATCGCCCGTACTGGTGCATTTTGATTGGGGCTACAAATAGGCACAGTCCTACTTAGAGTCAGACACCCCTCTTGAAATGTAGGCAACATTAATTGCCAGGACCTACCTGAGTCTGACAGCATTCTGGCCATAGCCTGCTGCCAGCCGGTGGGTGCTGCATGGAAATGAGCAATACTTGTCAATGCCTTACAGACCTCATCATTCCAAGTATAGTTGACAGCGATATGCATCCCGCTCATGGCAAGATCCTAAACGGCCAATGGACATACATACAAGAATGTATGAGGAAGTGAATGTATTTTTCATCACTAGTCATCGTGAAAAAAGTCACAAGTATTTTCACCATGGGTAATACTTAAAACCAACAAACCAGTTGCTGGCATGATTGTGTTAATTTTGCCAATGATCTGCATGGAGTTATCAATGGCATGATGAAGATATCTACCATAGGTCCCACCTGAGTATCATGGAGCACATTGGCCTATTTTTTCCTGAAGACTATAAAGAAATGAAACCCCAATTATTAACAAACTAGCTCATGATACATGAAATACATGTATATTGGACTGAAAGGTATCACTCTAGCTTCAAGAAGTGGTAGAACTACCAGAAAATAGCATTTCAGGTTTTGTGGAATGCCGCTTTACTGTTTTTTAATTTCAATTTTTTTTTTCCGAAACGCTCAGTGGGGGGTTGGGGTAAATTTTGAAAATTGAAATTCACTTTTTGAACAAAAAAAAAAAGTTTGGACTTGGGCGACTTACGCACGCTGTGCCAGGAATCCTAAGTGTGATCTGTTTCAACTTCGTTCCGAGTTATGGATAGACTGACCTGTGTATTATGGACGGTGTGAAATTCCATGGGTGAAAGTGTTTTTTAGGTTAAATATGTGCCGACATTAATGTATGCTGACTCCATTGTAACCATGTAAAATCAATGCACAAGTCAACCTGCATGGCACCATCTGATCGTGAACACATGTAGGCCTACATGTTGTCTAACGTAAATTTTCCATAAATATTTGTGTAGATGAGGGTGCATGGAATTAGACATAAAATGGCTGTCATTAGTAGTACATGTCAGTGATGTAGTCGAGTACCTTTTGAGAACCTACAAGTTCTCCACCAAATATTTAACTAGTTAGGAGGAAACAAAGCTGAAGTACATCGGCAGTTGATGGTACATGCATATTGGTAAGATTAAAAAGCAACATAATGACTTCAGACCATCACTGCTTGATTAAAATTAACTTTTTAGGACAAAAGTACTCGGCCGAGTACTTCTCTCCTTGAAACTTAAATTCTACACAACTGGGAGTGTCTGAAGTCTAACATTTATTTTGTAATCTTTCCTTTGCACATTTACCATCAAATGCCTGTGCACTCTGGCTTTATTCCCTTTTACCCAGTTCAGTATTTTGCAGAGAACGTTGGTACTCGGAAAGTAGACAACAACACTGGTACATGTACTTTGCAACTGCAGGCTTTCACACCTATGTGAAGCGACTTGCATTGCCCAAGTTGTGTGGAAGCAAACAAGAAGCATACACAAAGTAAACTGGTTCCCACAGCTAGAAATAGCGACATGGAATGGACGGGAGTCAGTAACACCCGCATGACATGATACATTCTGAAGTTTGAGAACACGAAAATATGAAAGGATAAAAACTACAGAAACATTTTAAGTTAGTTCACAAATTAATTTGTTCTTTACACAATGGTATTTTCCAATTTCATATATTTATGTTGAGGTCTCAGTGCATGTACTTTCGGCGGTTCAGTAAAACCCCGATTTTCTGTTTGATCGTCGCTTAGCCTTTAGTCAAGGCACACTGGATACTGAGCTGGTAACACCAACAAGACTAGCGCGAGTGGCCACAAGCACCTTTACCATCTTGAAGAACTGATCAGCACGTAACTCATCAAGAAGAACATTAATTAAGGGAGCGCTGTAGTGGGAATTTGTAAATTTGGTCGCCGCACAGCATTCAACATGGCCACTACCGTGCATGATACATGCCCTGTTCCAGTGAATCTGTGACCATGGTATAACAAAACAATTGTTGCCTGCTGTAACTCACGGCAAACGGCACCGTCGGCTTGGCCCCAAGTGCCATTTGCCCCCTCAGGTGTACAAAATCCCATGGACCCCTACACTGCAGGCGACAATTGTTAAATGTACACGTATGTGTACGGGACGGGCATTATCTTTTTTATACAAAGAATAGGGCAAATAGGTGAATATGTTACATGCAAACGCCTTCAGATGTAATGGAGCTCACTTACATTTCATTAAGTACTGGTGTGGCAGTTTAGGACAAAGGGTCACTGTCTTTTAACAAAACTCAAAAGAATTAAACAAAAAAAAATGGTGCAACCAACCTTACTAAATGTCCAAATAAAGTGTACTTTCTGTGGGTCTGGTATCTCATCTTCTCTGAATTGAAAGATGCTGCTGTGAGTTACTCCTTCCTCATAAATTGTGCTCATGTAGACTTCATCAAAAACCACATGAAGATCATGCCTAACAAAAACAGTAACACATTGGTCCTGATCTGAAACTCCACCAAACAAACACTGACTAAACACAAACATGTACGTATGTACATGTATAGCATTATCATACATGTGCGGAATAACGGAAGTATGTTTCTAAATGAGAGAAAACTGGGTGAAGTAAAATAAAGTGCCTTTACTTCTTGCCCTTGGCAGAGCCTTGAACCGAGAACTGCAACATGAGTGTCATCGTCACTGGAAACAAACTGACAGGTGTATGCACCAGTGTATGTGGGTAGTTGGTATACAACAGCCACAAACTTTACTTTACACGTAACAAACAGCCAGTTTGTTTCAAAAATCTGAGGCTCTAGTATTCTGGTTCTTGGTACTACATACGTGTTTATACTGCCCTCTTCAGTTCACACACACAGCTTAGACATCCTACCTGCTAGCAAACATCAGGAGATCTAGAACCTGCTTTCTGCTGTACACATCCCCCAACGGATTGCTTGGATTGACTAGGAACAGCGCCCTCACGGTGACACCCTGAGAAGAATAAAAACAATATGACATCAATTGAATACCAATATTGACCACAAGGCATACCAAAGCCCTTCCGCTCCATTTCACATGTGGAGCAGCTGCCCAACAATTTCTTTTCATGTACCTCACTAACAGCTTTCTGATAGGCCTCTTCAGCTCGGTCAGCGGTGAGCTGAAAAGGTTGACTCTCTCCTGGCCTGGGCTGTCAATCAAGAAATCGAAGTACATATGACTGCTATCACCTTCACAGTAAATGCACAAATAAAAAGCATATTTAACAAACAAGTTGACAGAAAGGTAACTTAGTTCTCAGTGGTGGAAGGTCAGATAGGGCCCTTCAATACCAATTTGGCCTGTCAGCACTAAGACCGGCCAGCCGACCCCAGGAAGCTCGGTGGTCGAGTGGTTAAGACATCTGCACTAGTAAGCAGGAGGTTATGGGTTTGATTCCCACCCCAGTAAGCTTGTTAATTTTTTCGCAAGCTCTCGGACAAGCACTGAGCATAAAGTGTTTATCAATCTATACCTTGGGTAAGGGCAAAACCCGTTATTTAAATTCAAAAAAACTCTGTAGGCAGGCGAAAACTCCAAACACTACTCCAGAGCAGGGTTGAATGAGACACAGGTTTTGAGATGTTACGGCTTCTTACCTCCTTGAAAAGAGGGATTGGAACAACATCCACGTTGGGCCTGAGCTTCAGACTTCTGCCCAGACCATAGTAAAATGGTACGGGTACAAGAACAGCCTCTTGAAGTACAGGAAATAGAGACAACATTGACAAATTTATCTTCCAAACCCTGTGATATGTTCTCAGTTTCCTTTACAACTGAGCAAACCTGAATTACAGGTACAAGTATACAGGTATGTACTTGATGCATAAGAATACTACAAATGTAAACGACATAAGCACGCACATAACTCTCAGTGAGTGCCTCTGTGAGGCCTTCATCCGTGTCCATGCCCCCCAATCAAGTTGCTACTATGACATACAATCAAATCAAAGTAATGTATATCATGTTGTACTTGGTACAAATCCATAAAGCAGTCAACACATTTATAATAATAATACAGAGCACTTGTAATGCGCCGGTATCCACCAAATAATAATACAGAACACTTATAATGAGCCGCTATCTGCCAAATAATAATACAGAACACTTACAATGCACCGGTATCTGCCAAATAATAATACAGAGCAGTTATAATGCGCTGGTATCCACCAAATAATAATACAGAGCACTTGTAATGCGCCGGTATCCGCCAAATAATAATACAGAACACTTATAATGCGCTGGTATCCGCCAGATGTTAGATTTAGATAAAAACTGTTATGTGCATTTGTACCAAACAACGTTCGACAGGCCATAATGATTTCGACACATTCAAATGAAAATTAGCCATACCTAGAAGTATTTGTGCCATTAACATAAAACCTGATTCTTCAACGTCTCCTATACATCAGCACTTACACACACATCACACCGTTAACCCTAACCCTCCTCAATCCTTCACCTGTTGGAGGACTGAGGAGTGTTAGGGTGAAGCAACTATAAATTTGAGTGTCCCTTGATAGATCCATTCTTGAGGTCATTGCAATAGTTCATGTGTAGAGAACTACTAAAAAAAGTGAAACATTGGACATGTATTTGCCCTTCAAGCCCCCAAAGCATGTCAGAATTAAATAAGAGGGTAGGAAATTGAACAAGTGAATGACTGACAAGAACAGAAGGCAATAAGCCATTTGCGAGTTAATTTTGAATAAAAGCACTGAGTTTATCTGACTGCACATAATGATTTGAATTCCCCAGACTAAAGACACTGTTGCTATACCTCTTGATTTGGGGCAAGCTTTCGCATAGCGACCACCATCTCTGGAATGGCCTGGTTCCTTTGTGCTGTTCTTATCCATTGAGAACTGTGTATTATTGCAAGGCATCTCTTATGTAACTAAGCAAAAGCTTGCCCCAAATCACGAGGTACAGCAACAGTGGTTTTAGTAAGGGGAATTCAAGTTGTAATGTTCACGTGAATTTAAAGAACTCAATGTACCAGATTTGGGTCAAAGTTAACTCGCAAAAAGTTTTATTGTATTGTACAACCACCTAAATATTTCACTGTCAAATAAAACAAAACTCTAGCTGCTTGGGGTGTTTGGAGCAGTACAGAGAGTGACAGGTGGGCAGCCTTGGGTAGTACATACAAGACAATGGGGGTAAAATTACAGCAACTGACATGCTTGAAGGACACTAAAGACAGCATAGCCTTTGACACTGGATAAGAACTCTACAGAAGTACTGGATCCCCCCCCCAAAAAAAAACCAGAAAGCAAACTAAACCTGAAACTGTCCTAAACATGATGGAGGGAATGTAGCAACTTCTGTCATCTCATGGACCCTCATAACCTCTATTACAAGAACATATAAATGTACCTCCAGCATCACATAAGACATGCGCCATGGCCTCCAAACATACATCACCTCCATTCATGATGACCATCTGACAAAAAAAATACAGTAGTGGAAGAATCATTTTTTGAAAAATAAAATGCAAGCAAAACAGCGCCATTAATGTATATGATGTTCATGTAACAAACTGAGTGGTAGTGATGGTACAAGTGCATGGTTGGTTAAGTATACAAGGAAGGAGATTGGGCTAGCTAGGGTTAGATAGGATGGTCGGGTGACTGTAAGGTGGAGAAGATTCCAGCAACTGACTTGATACTCAGACTTCACTGAAGATTGTTCAGCAACAAAAAATGTGGCGACAGAATGCTTCGTTCATTCTTGTGATTTCTGACTAGAATCCCTACCTTGTTAGGGTCCAGGGGCTTTGCAGCATGTGATGTGATGGTCAGGAGTTTTGCAATTGCTTCTCGCAGCTCTGGCAACCCTTCCGTTTCGCCGTACTTAAACATCCGGTCAGACCATGTCCTTGGTAATTCCATTGAGCAGTCCAGCTAACAAGACAACAAGGATACATGTTATAGGATCAATTTTTCACACAGTTTAAAGTGAAGCGTTCTTGAACTTACATACATGTACATGTACATGCAACTCTGGAGCAAAACTTGCAAGGAGGAAAAAAACGAGACAAAGAAGTGTTTCAGATTTACGCAAAGTTTTTCAGTCTTGGTTTCAGCTGTTAGTCCCGATAGTCACAAAGCTGGAATATTGCAAGATGCTGGCTATGATTCCCAGCAACTTGCAAGAAAAACCATATGTTTAGCAATGCATGCAAAAAACCAGTATGAGGCTGCAACATTATTTTCCCTAAAACTTACTATTTGAACCTAGCCAGCTGACACTTAACATTTACCACATTTTAGAAATCATTCTGATTAATTGTGACAAAATTCTCATCATATTAAGAAGCAAGAAGCAGCAGCCAACTGATAAGGTAATTCCAGAGATATACGGGTCCAAAAGTGTGACATTTATGAGTCCGTTACATCTGACCTTTGTTATTTGACATGGGAATATCACCGGAATTGATTTCAAACTATTACTATTCGTTAGGCAGGCAATTTCCATTAATTAATCACTCTAAGAAATTAGAAAATGTGCTCTGAACTTACAAAATCATATGTCAGATGTGACAGCGACGCTTAAAAAAAGGACCCTGAATCTCTGGAATTACCCCTATCTGTTAACTCTGGTTATACATGCACTTCTATTCTTATTCCAGCTAGGCTTGAGGGCGGCTATACGAGAGTTTCAAGAATTTTATGCAGACTAATTTGGAATTTTCAATACATATTACATGAGTTGACAGCTGAGTCCAGACAGCAGTGTCTACAGTTACCATAAGAAGTGCCTGATTTTAAATTGCAGATGTGAGCTTGTGACAGATCCTTTGACACCTTTTTTTAATTTTGTGTTCATTCATGTACATTTTCACCCAATTGCATATTTATAAAACAAAGATCATTTAGCAAGTAAAACTATTTAAAAGTTTCTCATCGTCAACCACTTTTTTTTTCTGCACCCACTTCCTTTACGTTTTTGGTTTTTGTGTGTATTTTTCTTTCTATTACGTGTTAAAGCCACCCCTTTACTTTAGGCACAAATGTTTCATCAGCCAAAGATTTCAGCAGTTTTATCCACCATCTAAGAAATACAACAACGTGTATTTTACAACCCAGGAGAAAATCTATTTTATTCAGCTTTTAAACGTAAAAAGTGAGATCAGGGTATGAGGGTGCATGTACCTACATGTGTGATTCTCGGCATCACATGTATCCAAACTAATCCAGTGGATTAGTGCAATATTTCTAGTTAGACTTCCAACAGTAAATACTGGAAAGGAAGCATGTAACAAATTATACATGTACATGTATTCGGTGCTTAGCATTTTCGATGTGCTTTCGCATTTCTGTCTAGTTTTCAAATACCCCCTTCGCCAATTCGATTAAATGCCTTTATGTCTTTTTCCAAGTAGTGTGGCAACTTCATTTACTCAAACATTCTGGGTCATGCCGGGCCAGGAATCAAAGGTGGGAGGAAAACCCCAGAGGAAGATTCTGGGTAAAACCGGGCCAGGAATCAAAGGTGGGAGGAAAACCCCACAGGAAGATTCTGGGTAAAACCGGCCAGGAATCAAAGGTGGGAGGAAAACCCCACAGGAATATTCTGGGTCAAGACAGGCCAGGAATCAAAGGTGGGAGGAAAACCCCACAGGAATATTCTGGGTAAAACCGGCCAGGAATCAAAGGTGGGAGGAAAACCCCAGAGGAAGATTCTGAGTCAAACCGGGTTGGAATCAAACCCTGACTGCAGAGATGGAAGGCGTGGAAAGAACCACTGTGCCAATGGGATTCCCTATATTACATATAATTTAATTATAAAAATATCCAAATGTATATCCATATGTATTTTATATACCACAGAAAAATATATATATTTCATACACTATTGTGTATATAGAACAAAAATGACTGTTTTGACACAAGTTATATACTAACCTGAACAATAATTACAAGCACATTCAAGTACCAGACTAAATATGTGACCTGCTCTGCAAAAAAGGGTAATAAGTGGTGCAATGCCAAGACACATAATGGTCCGTTCTATTTGGAGAGGGCAACATTTCTTTAAAAACTAGATTATTTTGTTTTTTCCTTTCATTCTTTCTAAAATATTTACATTTTCAGAATTTATGATGACAAACATGGACACTGATGAATAAAGATGAAAAATTGATCATTCAGTAGGAAATCCTATATTGCCTTGCGTTTCCAAGCGCTACACTTCATGAGCGTTTTCTCGAAAAGAGCTTTTATTGAATCCAACAATGTGGACAAATGTTTATATATCTCTGGAATGCAGCCCACTACAGGGGCCATTCATACATGTATATCAAAATTGTAGCTTGTGATGTACAGAATCTAGCCACATCAAAAACTCATAACCTAACTCTGGTGACTTATTACCCATTTTTCTAGAGCCGTTCATATATACAATATTTTTGGATGAGCAAAATGATCCAATACCAACGTGGGCATAGTGACAGAACATGTCTACAGCTAAGGTGGCACACTGATTGATGTCACAGGGATGAAGTTGATATTCTACTCACCTTTTCTCTCAGTAAATCATACATCATAATGTTCTGGGCAGTTCCCATATTGATCATACCCTGGTGGGCGAATAAAAACATTTTCTTTTAAATACCCTACGTACCGTTCTTGTGATCCATCAAACAGTATCAAGATACACAAGGCCTAAAATATTACAGGCCTTCATTTTTAACAGGTATGATCCATGCACTGTAGATGTACTAAGTGATGTCGACCGTGCAAAATTATTAGCAGCTCCAAATGCATGACTGAAATTAATAGGCCTGGTCTGATTCCAAGTCAAGTGACCTTTAGTGGGTTTCAAATATCAACAAATATGGTGTTATGGTCATAAGAGTTGTTGATGAAAGTAAATCCAACTATCAGTACAGTACTCAACATGTTAGCTGTCCCAGCAAAGTACGCGCCATCTGCTTTATTTATAGTAATAATACTTATGACTCACTTTGTTATGGGAGGACGCTAAATGTATCTGAGAGCTGCTATATAGGTCTCACAACTTCGCAGGCTCAATCGGTCTATACTTGCACAGGAAATAGGGGGCTTGGCCAAATAATTTTGTGGACACAAAATGATTTCAAACTGAAGAAATAAAGGTTTTCTTTGTGTCATTTGCTTGTTTTCATTCTTGTATGAGTTGTAAACTAGATAGGTTTGCGGTAGCACTATGGACATCTCTTTTTGAGTATGTGGGGCTCTGCAGGAGACTGCGGGGGACCAGTGAAAAGGCAGCTTAATTCTTGTGTCCCTGTGGTGCTTTGGAGCTCCATCAGCCAAGTTAGATTTTGTCAAAGAAGAGTTCCATACACAGTACATGATACAAGAACATCAAGAATTATTTCCAACAGTGACCCGTTAGCAATCAGAACGCAAAAATATGTCAAGAAAAGTTCAATTTAGCATGTCCAGATGGAAAAATATCAAGTTGTTTAGTGAGAAAACACTTGTCCAATCTTTCACACCAGTGGTAGTGGAGTTTGTGCACTGGGTACAAATTGGCATCTGTAGGCCTACATATACATGTACATGGAACTATTAATTTGAGTATTAAACTCTTTATAAAACTCCACAGTATGCCCTTGCACCGGTTAGGTCTACATTAGCAAGCCTAGTAGTATAAGCCAATTTCCAGTTCCCCGCGCGAGTAAGTGATTAACAAAGCTCGAGGGGAACAAATTGTCTACAATAATACCAATCGTGAGCATCCATTCGGCAAACGTTACGCAACGTTGAAATGAGCTTGCGTGCACGTGAAAAAGGCTTAGGCCCATTATTACGTTTGGATTTTCTTCGGCATGATATTCCCCCTTGCCGACGATCCCTCCAGCTGCTGGAACCGCGCAACTTGCTTCGTACGTGAGGATCGCCCGGGCTCGCTGAGACACAGATGATTTCGGAGAAACAGACAAAGACATTTTTAAAGGATTTTTGGTTCAAGTGAAGTCCCAGTTGAGTACACGTAATGATGCGGATAATGTTCTACCGGGCTTAACTTCTGCGATGTGGGCGATGTACATGTACATTGCATGCTTGCTAGATCGATCCATCCAGCGCTGCCGGCCTATGCCAGGCACTATCAGGAGGAGTCGCACGTCTGGGTACTAGTCTGGACATGTTGATTAAATTGATTCTCCTATTGCCGTAAACGGAGAGGAATTATCAAACAGATTGCTCTTATCTAACGATTCTGAGCCTCCTTATTGAACTAAATCTTTGATATCTACTTGTTGTTTTGCTACTTTGCGTAACTAAAGAAATATAAATTGCTGTAATTTAACTTACATATAATTTAGACACCTAGCTGTTAATCAAAACACCCTATCTCTAGAAATGGAATAGTCTGTAAATTGACCAGTACAGTGCTCGGCCGGCCTAGCCTGGCGCGTCATGTTATTCTGGGTACATGCATGGGCCACAAACTTCGAACTTAGAGGTCGCTGGACATACACGTACACACGTACATGTACTGGAATTAGTCCCATGAAAACACTCGTTTCATAATGTTGTCTCCATGGTTTTCGTGTTGTAGTAATACACAGGAGGACAGAGACCGTAAAAATGTGAAATATCTGGTGCACGATTTGAAAACCTTCGAGGGAAATGTCCAAAGCTTATTCGAACTTTCTGCGCACTGCCTGTCCCTATCTAGGAGTAGGAGGCCTACATGTAATAATGACGAGGTCTGGGAGGAAGCACGGGAAGGTGATTCTCGAATAAACTTGGAATCGGCGCTTTTCCAGCACAAATCACCGGTTCCCATGAAGGGACGCCAGACGTACAGAATGTGGAAAGCCACAGTGGAGCTTAGCACAGGGCTTGTATTCAAGTCGGACCTGCTGGACAAGCCGAAAACCCTGCATTTTTGCCCACTGGAGCGATTCCCACAACCCGTCACATCTGGGTTTCGGATTCAAGGTTATAACCTGGTGCAGTACTTGGTGCACTTCTTGCAGGTTTATTTCCCTAATTTGGACATCAGGATGGAGTCCGTGCATGATATCAATCAAGACTTGGAACTGGTAAGCAGGTACCACAGCAAGACGAACAAAAAGCAATTTTTAGTGACAGACTTGTATGCAAAGTTGCACAAACTGACAGGCATTCCATCGAGCGACTTCGTCCTCGGATTGACATGGACGGACCTGTATCCTAAAGAAGAGTTGAACTTTGTTCTTGGGGAAGCCTCATTCCGACACCGCTGTGCTGTACTCAGCTTTGGCCGGTATGAACCCCTGAGCTACAAGAGAAACCAAGGAGATGATGAACCTGAAGAAGAATCGATTGCTGTTGATGGAGATTTGCTGTGGAAACTTCTCAGGGTAACTGAGTGCTCCCCTCATGATCATTGATTCAAACTTTCCATCAGGGCTGTTGCCTGACCAGAGTTTGGGGGGTGTCAAAGTACCCACAAGTGGAACGTTTGGCACTGTGATAACACAAAGGCCGGGAAGTTCCATAAGTATGGATGCCAGTAATTATTTCTTACAGAGACCTACATGTATTAGCCTTCAGAAAGCAAACATTTGTCCTAAAAAGTTCAATTTAAGAGGGAAAAAAACCAAGTCGTTTACTGTGACTTTGACGGGGCCAAAACTAAATGTGTGCTCTGACATGGTACTTTCAGTCATTCCCTCTTAATAAGTCAGTGCTGTGTCCTTTGCCGGGTAGATCAGTCCAAGTGAGAACTATTCCACAAAGTTTTTGGCTTTCTCGGTTTTTCCTTTGATTGGTTTTTCTCTTTTTTGTGTGAGGTAATGGTACAGTAGCAACACTGGCTTTAAAAAAGGCCCGAGGTGGTCCCTAAAATGAGTGAGTTTATGTACATGTATGTTTGAATGGTCGATTTTCTGCACATTTGTTATGAACTAGTTAGTATATTCCCTAGTTGATTCTAAGCAAAAGTCCCAACTCCCAAGAGAAATCATTATTATAAATCTCTGGTAATGACACCAAGGATTCCTCAAAAGCACCCTAGGCACTCTAGCTCGCAAGCCTGAAGAAACCTGTAGAGAGGAGACAGGGAGAAGCAGTTACAGTTTTAGAGGTGGGAGGAAAACCTCAGAGGGTCATCCCATGTCAAGTCACACACCCTCCCCAGTGACACCTCTTCAATTTGCCTGATTTTTTATTCTATTAGTGCCATATGATGACAAATGAAAGAATCCAAAGTTTGAGCCTACTAGCTCAAACGGTTTTCAAGTTATGGCCCTTCAAAGTTTGGGTGCCACGCCCACTTTTGAGATCCGGGAATTACCCTAATTTGGATGCCCAGATCTTTTGTTTTAAGGTAGGTACAGACCTGTAAATTGCTATATATATTTGTATTCTGGCCCTGTCTATCAGAATCTGCACTTAAAAATATCATACAAGTAGGTGTACTATTTTTAAGAGATATTAACCCTTTAAAAGTCGATTTTCAATGATGCAGTACATTTTTTTGAGATTTTGGGGTTCCATATCTTGGAAATGTTTTGTGTTGGTGGGGCTTCAACTAATTTATCATCATATTTGGGAACTCTACTGTGTATTTACAGAGTTTCAAGGCACTCGGGCCTTTGGTGGGGGTGCAGGAGGGCTCCAAATATGGCCACGGGACAAAATTACCATTTTGGACCCCCTACTTCAGGCCACTAGTTGGCCATGTTTGCACATGATGATGGGAATGAGCTTTTCACCCCATCACAGTCAGCTTTCATCAACATTTTGAGCCAATAAAAACTTTGATTATCCAACTCCTTCACTATGAACGAAGCCTTGGCATACATGTATGGTACTATTTTTGGGTATTTCCAAAAAAATCCGAAGTCCAGAAAGTAGGTCAACTCTTTTTTTTTTCTGGGGAATTGTGTGAATGGACATGGAATGACCCCAGAGGAATATTCTGGATAAAACCCACAGAATCAGGTAGGGACTGAAAACCCAATCCACATGTTGACTGGGCCAGGATTCGAACCCGGGCCGCAGAGGTGGAAGGTGAGGAAAGAACCACTACGCCAACCTGACTCCCCAAGTGTGAACCTAGATCACGTTCTTTCTTACCACTTCTTACATGTAGAAGTAATTGTCATTGTATATCGGTACTTCAGTTTGCTCATTGGTTTGTCCTCTCCCTGTAGGTTGCTACCCATGAAACCTGTCATCTCTTTGGCTTGAATCACTGTGTCTTCTTTAATTGTTCAATGAACGAGAGCACTTCTGTTGCCGAAGCCCTAGCCCAACCCCTCATCCTGTGTCCAGTCTGCCTCCGAAAGATACAGCGCTTCCTGAAGTTTGGCATCGTGGAACGATACCGTAATCTTCTGAGCGCATGCCAATCACTCCAAGATGCCTATCCCTCTGAAGGAATGCAGACCACCGTGGACTGGCTTCGTAGATGCATGCAGTTTCTCAGTTGATTCTCACATCTTTGCTCTGTAGTTGACCAACTTGGTAATCACGCTTTGCAGTAACTAGCAGTGGAGTTGGCCAGTGGGCCACTTTTGCTTATTAGGTCATTTTACAGTTGTTCCCTGGGCAGTTGCTGCTAAGGAGTGCTTGTCAGCTCACCTGTTAAGTGGATGTTGGAAGTGTGTGCAATAAACAAGGCACTTTTTTTCTCAACATGGAGGGCATCTGCTCTGATTTGAACTAGTCATATTAGGAAGCCAGGGGTACGTGCAATTAAAGGCTGTACACGTCAATTCAAAGAGAAATTGGACCTGTCTGATCAGTGCATTCCGTGCCTAATGCACATGAACCTGTGTACACAAACATTGAGTTTGTTGTAAAGGGCCATCATTGCTATGTAAAAACAATGCTATTTCTATTTGCCAAAAAGTCTGGGCTTGTGGAAAAGGGTTCTTAGTACATGTACATGTACATCTGTGCAATCCGCAATACATCACTTTGGAACAAAATGCCATTCATGATCTTGCAGTCATGCGGCGAGTGGTAACCCTATGGCCTTGCACTGGGTACATTGGGGTAGACAGGGACAGTTACCTTCAAATTTCATATTAATTATGCACAATGCCATGCATGTAGTTCAAGGCAATGTTGCTTCCCTCACTGAATTAGCCATGTACATGTAGACACCGCTTTCAAAGCTTCTTCAGATCAAAGATAAACTTTTAACTACGGTTTCTTTATAATAAACATGTTCAAGAGTTCACAGAATGTAAACGGTTATTTTCAATTATCCTTCCTTTGGTTTTACAGCACAAATATGCACCAGTGTCACGAGTCACTCTTTCGCATGTGTTTTCTATCTGGAACAC